AAAAATAAAAAAATAAGAAGGTAAGAGTGAGCAAATACTGCTGAGAACTGAGAACCGACCACCAGGTTTAGCAACGTGGTCACTGAGACTCTGGGCGAGAACACATTGAGTGGAAGTCCAACTGGATCCCATCCACTCCCCCCAGACTGTGGTGCTTAACTATTCCCCCTTCCCCATTGTTAGCCTGCCTCGCTCCAAGGTCATTCATGCTGGTCATTTCTTCCTGGCCAGTAAGCCTGCTGCTCTCAGAACAGTTGGACGGCGAAGCCTGGGAAGTGCCAGGTGCCAGGTGCCATCTGAGCACTGTGGCCAGTAAAGCCTTCAGGTATTGGCGGAAACGGCAACTGGAGAAGGCATAGAGGATGGGTGTAAAGCAGCAGTGAAGGAAGGCAATGCTCTCTGTCACCTGCAGTGCATAGTCCAGGTGCTGACTGACCTTGCAGTTCCCGAAGGCTTGTAAGTCCAGCAGTGAGTGCAGAAATAAAGTGAGGTTGTACGGGAACCAGAGCACGAAGAAGGCCACTACCAGGGCTGCAGCTATTCTTAGAGCCCGGCCCCGGCCCAGGGGCCTCAGCCTGACCAGGACACAGCCAATGCGGGAGTAGAAGAAGATCATGGCAAGTAGTGGAAGGAGAAACCCCAGGAGGTTCTGCTGGAAACGGAGGAAGAGCTTCCAAGTGGTCCTGTGCCCGCTGAAATCTGCGTAGCAGTTCCACACACCCTTGGGATGTTCATGCATCTGTACAAAGACCATGTCAGGGATGGAGACAGCCAGGGCCATGGCCCACACTACGGCAACAAGGAGCAGGCTCTTGGCCCGGGTCCTCAGCCTGTGGTGGGGCTGAGTGTGGACAATCTCCAGGTACTTGTCCAGGCTCATGCAGCTAATGAAAAAGATGCCACTGTAAAAGTTAATGGTATAGAGGGTGCTTACCATCTTGCACAAGAAACTCCCAAAGACCCAGTGCCAGGCCACAGAGATGCCCCAGAAGGGCAGTGTCACCACAAACAGGAAGTTGGAGATGGCCAGGTTCAGCAAATAGACCTCAGCCATCCGCCTGCGAGGCACATAGCGGAGCAGGACCACGAGAAGAAGGAGGTTCCCACCCAGGCCCAACACAAAGATAAGGCTGTAGAAGACTGGCAGGAAGACTTTGCCAAAGGACAGCACTGTGTCCTTCCTGCAGAGCATGAAGTCCACCTCATCCAGGTAGTCATAGTCATAGAAGGAGCTGCTGTTCTCAGAACTGGCCTCCTTGGTGGCGAGTGGCAGGAAGGAAGCAGTGGTGGCCATGTCGGGAGGACACACCCAGTCCTGAAGTCCTGCAGTGCTGTGGGAGAAAAAATATGGTGAAAACTAGCATTCCCTACTTCTCCCCAACCCCACTCTTGCTACTGCCCTGGGGTGTCGAATAGACTTGTCAAATCGTCATTGGTACCTACAGTCTAGCAAGTAAGAACACAAGCTTAGGAACCCAACTCTACCACTTAATATTTATGTCTCCTTGGATAAGTGACTTAACTTCAGGTGTTTTTTGCTTTTTGTTCTGTTTTTAAAAGATGACCGATAAGGGGATCTTAACCCTAGACTTGGTGTTGTCAGCACCACGCTCACCCAGTGAGCCACGGGCCAGCCCTAAATTCAGGTGTTTTAGACTATTCAATTCTTTCATTATGGTTTCACTTTATTTTTCTCCATCGTTTAAAACAGACTTATGATGTCTTTCAGATTCTTCTTTATTATTTAGGGATACCAATTCCCCTGTTTATTGTGTCTCCTGACTCTCCCTCATGGTCTGACTTATAATGATTCTTCCTTGTATGGCTGATATTTATTTTTTAATTGAGAGCTTATCTTCATAGGAACTTGTTTTATCTACAAATGTCCATGTGTCTACACTGGCTTCGAGTTTTCTTTACTTCTTTTTCTTTCTTTTTGAGATTTTTTGGAAAAATATTTTATTAGCATATTCATTGTTACAAATCATACTTAATCTTTATGCTCCTTATCCAATCTCTCTCCTTCCCCTTCCCCCTCCTTTTTCCCCCTCCCCCTCCCCTTTCCTTCTTCCTCACCCCCCTCTAATAACCACAGATTTGTTTTCTCCATCTGATAGATTAACTGTTCCTCTGTTGGTTTGTTGCCTAGATGACCTGTCCAGTACTGAGTCAGGTGTGATAAGTCCTCCCCTATTATTGTAAATCACATGCTTCTTCTATTACTCTGGAGTGTGCATTGTGGAGAGAGAGGAACTCTTCTTTATTATTATTATTATTATTATTATTATTATTTGGTCTCCGCTGGTGACTCTCCTTGTGTCAATGCAGTTGAGAGTCTGGTGTGCCATCTGCATGGTGGTTGTGACTGCTGCTATAGAGACTAGCTGCTTTTGTGGCAGCCATGGCAATTGTGGTGGCTATGATGGGCTACCCGCATGAAAATGGTGTTTTTGGTGTGCTCTTTACCTGGTTGCAGCTGGATTCAGCTTTCAAAATCCTAGTTGCAGCTGGATTCGGCTTTTCAAAATGGTGTTTTGGTGTGCTCTTAACCTGGCTGCAGCTGGCTCCAGACCCCAGCAGGGCTTGGGGCTGTGGCAGTAGCTTGTCTAGTTGTGGCTGGGTTTGGCTTCTCCCAGCTCCATGCCTCATTCTAAAATGTTGTTCAGGGGGAGAAGGAGAAGGGAAGGAGGAGGGGAAATAGGATAGGAAGAGGGGGAAGGAGGGGGAGCATGATCAAGGCCCATGCCCCCCACCCATTCCAGCAAAAAAGCCCCCCCCCCCCCCT